CCTTTCTCACTTCAAATATAATAATATTCATTAGCATGTAGATGAAAGCAGAGTGTGAACTTGTTCGACTGAATCAGCGCTGGTTTTCGAGCAGCTCTTTACTTTTGTGCTGTATTAAAACTAAGTAACTGCACAATTGAAATAATGTGATTTGATAGGAAATATTCAATGAATTGCTGTGCATATATTAAGAAGAACTTGCCACTAACTTGTATTTGGTTCTATGTATTAATGCCTAGTGGTAGTACAGAAAGACAGTCTATTCTATTACGTTCTTTTACATTTTCAATTTATACAAGTAGCAGTGCGTCCACACTTTGCGTCGGCGTTTTGAGTGACTAGGAAAGCATATGTATTGATTCAGCGTTTTTACCGTCAGCATTTTTGACGTCCTTCAGCATTTGAGCGAGTGAGAATGTTACTGTATTAATTATCGCTGAAAACGTTGCCGCAAAATATGAACTTATTCTTAATTGGGACCTAGTCTAAATTTCTGAGCTTTGGACTGTTCGTTTCACTTCTAGAAATCTTTCCTTCGTATGCTATGGCCGTTGGAGAGAATTCGTCGTTCACGTTAGGGGTAGCAGCCGATGGACCTGTTCCTTGATGCACGAAAGGTCCCTCTTGAAGCGGTTAGTCTTTTGTCTTTTTACACCAAATATGCTTCTTACTCATTTATTTGAAGCATCGTGACGTATTTATTCTACTACTTTTGTTCATGGCAACGCATGCAGTACATCTTATTGGTTGATTAGCAGCAGAAGCAAATTTGCGAAAGACTGCATGCAAACTGATTGCACTTATTTAATGCTAACGTACAGGTTAAAAAAGTGTCGATGTCGAACAGTCACTCGTTGTTCCTAATGCAAAGCGGTGAAGTGTTTGGATGTGGACTCGCATCGAACTTCGGACGAGATGAAAGCCTCGGCAGTCTGCTTGTAAACCCCGTTAGGATTGATCTTCCTGGAGAGGTAATTATCCGTGCTCTATTAGGTCGTCCAAGTTCCTCAGCGTTTTGTGTTACTATTTTTGTACATTCATTGCTGATTAAAAACTCATTCTCCCTTGCGTCTCAGTAGTACATCCTGAAGAGAATTTTTGCGCTATCTGATGGTATAATTGCCGTTTCCATTGCCTGATTAACCCCCTTTTTTCAAGAGTTTTCCACTCATGTCAAAAAAGCAACTTCAGA